TAAAAAGATTAAATTTTCAGGACTTCCAGCCAAGATTGAGATGTAGGCAGATATTTTGACTCCTTGCACAACCAAAAGAAGACAAAAAAATTTAAAAACAAAAAATACCCAGAACTGCCAGGAAACCGAACTATATGGAAGTCTGACAACCATGGAGTTAAAGAAGAAACATTCATTCAGACTAGTAAGAGGGGAGGAGACAGGCAGCCAGATGGAGAGGACAGTGAAGCAAGGTGGCAGCTGGAGGTCCTGGGAGAGCAAGATGGTGGCGGGTAGACCAGGCAGTCCCACATTTGCATGCAGATAAACTGGGAGGAACAACTGGGGAACGAGACAGACTGCAAAACCTAGGGTACCAGTGCAGGGAAATAAAGCCTCAAAACCTCTGGCTAGAAAAATCTGTGGGCATTGCAATAGTGAGAGAAACTTCCAGTCTCACAAGAGAGTTTGTTGGAAAGACCCATGGGGTGTTACGATGGACACAAAACTACCCACTTGGTATTCAGAACCAGAGGGCCCTATCTGCTTGTGGGTATTCAGGGAAATGACTGAAAGCTGGCGCAAGCTAAGCAAGCAGCATTGTTCACTCTAGGTCCCCTCCCACACATACAGTGCCACAACACAGCTACCTGGGTTGCCTGGCCCTGGCCAACAGCTAAGGCTCCACCCCTTACAACATAAGGATCATGCCCAGACAAAAAAAAATTATGGCCCAAATGAAAGAACAGGTCAAAGCTCCAAAAATAGAACTAAGTGATGAAAAGATAGTCAACCTATCAGATTCAGAGAGTTCAAAACAGTGACAATCAGGATGCTAACAGAAATAGTTGAGTATGGCTGCAAAATGGACGAAAAAGTGAAGGCTATGCAAAGTGAAATAAAGAGAAATGTACAGGGAACCAAAAGTAAAAGGAAGAAAACCAGGACTCAAATCAATGATTTGGAGCAGAAGGGAGAAATAAACATTTGACCAGAACAGAATGAAGAAACAAGAATTCAAACAAGTTAGGAAAGGCCTAGGAACCTCTGGGACACCTTTAAACATCCCAACATCTGAATCATAGGGGTGTCAGAAGGAGAAGAAGAAGAGCGAGACATTGAAAACTTATTTCAAAAAATAATGAAGGAAAGCTTCCCCAATCTGGCAACAGAAAGAGACTTCCAGGAAGTCCAGGAAGCTCAAAGAGACCCAAAGAAGTTGGACCCAAAGAAGCACACACCAAAGCACAGCATCATTTAGTTACCCAAGATTAAAGATAAGGAGAAAATCTTAAAAGTAGCAAAAGGAAAAGGAGAGAGTTACCTACAAAGGACTTCTCATAAGACTATCAGCTAATTTCTCAAAAACAACAAGAACAAAAACTTGCAGGCAAGAAGGGGCTGGAAAGAAGTATCTGAAGTCATGAAAGGCAAGGACCTACATTCAAGATTACTCTATCCAGAAAAGCTATCATTTAGAATGGAAGGGCACATAAAGTGCTTCCCAAATAAGGTGAAGTTAAAGGAGTTCATCTTCACCAAGCTCTTATTATATGAAATGTTAAAGGGACTTATCTAAGAAAAAGAGGATGATCAAAAATATGAACAGTACACCTGGCTGGTGTAGCTCAGTGGATTGAGCACGGGCCTGCGAACCAAACAACTTTGGTTAGATTCCCAGTCAGGGCACATGCCTGGGTTGCAGGCCACTTCCCAGCAGGGGATGAATGAGAGGCAACCATACATTGATATTTCTCTCCCTCTCTCCTTCCCTTCCCCTCTAAAGATAAATACATAAAATATTTTTTAAAATATGAACAAAAAAATGACAACAAACTCACAACTATCAAAAACCAAACCTAAAAAAAGAAAAACAAGCTACAGAAACAATAAGAACAGGAACAGAGTCACAGAAATGGAGATCACATGGAGAGTTATCAGTGGGGAGGGGGAGGCAGGAGAATGGGGAAATGAACAGGAAATAAGAAGCATAAATGGTAGGTACAAAATAGCCAGCAGAGGTTAAGAATAATATAGGAAATGCAGAACCCAAAGAATTTATATGTACAACCCATGGACATCAACTAAGAGGGTTGGGGGAATACTTGTGTGAGGGGGGTGCAGGGAGGAGGAGAATGAGGGGACAAAAAATGGGACAACTGTAATAGCATAATTAATGAACAAAAGGGTGGTACATGAAGCTTTGCCCAGGCACAAACACTCCTTCCCCCTCGCTTCTTCCCTAGAATACCCCTTCCTGTCTGAAAGGCTGGGCTGATCCTATATTACAGGTGGTACTAGCAATATGCTGTTCCACCTCATGGAGGATCCTTCTCACTTCTACTCATCCATACAACTTGTTAGCAGCCATTCTCTTGGTGTGGACTTTATGCCAGCAAGAGCTTGATGGGACTTTTAACTTATAAAAAGAACTAGAAAATTTTTTTCTCAATAGAAAAAAAAATTATGGGCAAAAAGAGGCTCTAGCAATCACTTTTCTGAACCAGGATAACCTCACTCTCAAAAATAACCCTGTCTTCTCATTGACAAAAAAAAGTTAGCTTAAATCCTTACATCAAAGATTCCCTCAACTTCCCATTGTCTACCTCAGGACTCAGCTCTCAATTCTGTTTCTCAGGAAGAAGCACCTCTGTTATCTTTGCCCCACCCGAACAGCTCTCAAAACATTTTAGTTGTTAGGACCCCTTTACATTCTAAAAAATTACTGAAGAGTCCAAGGAGCTTTTATTTATGTAAGCTATAACCTATCAACATTTACTATGTTAGAAATTAAAACAATTTTTTATTTAAATTAAATTAATTAAAAATAGTATTAAACATATTAATATCAGTTAACATTTTTATGGAAAAACTTTGTTTTAAAAAAATGGTGAGAAGGGTGATACTATTTTACATTCTTGCAAAACTCTTGAAGGTCATGCTTAATAAAAGCTGGCTGGATCTCATATCTGCTTCTGCAGTCTGGTATTAGTCATAGTCATGCAGTCATGTAGCCTGTGAAAACATTACACACTCCTGAGACAATGAAAGTAAAAGGGCAAATAATGTCTTGATATTACTTTGAAAATAGTTGACCTTGAAAGGGTGTCAGGAACCACTCCTGTTCTCCCACAGCCCTGGAAGAACCACTGCTCTAGTCAAGCCATCTTCTAGACACAGTCCTAGGTCTGGTTTCAGCAAATATCCACTAATTTGGACTCCAGCACCTCTCTTGGTTCCCTTACTTCAAACACCACCACCACCACCACCAAATACATCATCTTCCTTAACCTAAAAAGAAAAAACAATACAAAACTTCCTACTTAAGCTCTCTTCTCCTTTGCTCAAGTCACCAACTTCTTGAAAAAGTTCTGCCTCTACTGTCACTCCTTTTTATTATTTTAATTACCAAAGTATATACAAAGACATTCTCATTTTTTAAAACATCCAAACGATATAGACAAATCACCATTCACAATCCCAATCTCTTCACTGGAGGTAACCACCACTATTTACCACTAGAAAATACCCCCAAACGACTTTTTAAACTAAATATCATATTGAAATGTTTATTTTTTATGATTTTCCCTCTTTAAATAGTTATGCAAAATAAATCTGGAAGAGAATTCTAATTAGATGCCAATTCTTTTGGTGAGTGGAGTAAGTCATGGATCAAAGGATAAGGGCTCGGAGATAAATACAAAGCAAGTACTAAGGAAAACATTAAACCATCTCGATTTTATGGCTTATATTGCCATAACAAGACAGAATAATAAGACTTAGGACTATGCCTTGTATATAAACCCCTCACATTTCATTACATAAATTCAGATGAATACTTGTATCATTTCAATAAATATAATAGTGTCTTTAGGGTTTAAAAACATTTTCACATATATTATCTCTTTAAAATTCACAGCCCATGAGGTTAACAGGTACTATCTTTAACATTTTATAGATAAGAAAGCAAAAGTTCTTAGGAAAAAAATCACTTGCTCAAAATTACATAGCTAGAAAGAAGCACAGCAGAAACCATAGCTAGAACATGTATCTTTTGAGTCAAATCAAATTCCACTTCTTTATATCATATTTCATATCTTTGCAACATAAGTTCTTGCCTATTGTTAGAGCTAATTTGCAAAATTATCTCTACTTTCAAAGTTGAAAAGAAAATATAAAAGTTAATTGTATAACTTTTGAATACAAAAAACAGTAAATTATTTTTTCTTCTTTAGTATACAGTATAATCCCTTAAGGACCTTGCATTTTAAAGTAATAGTTAAAATTTACTAACACCTGCATCAACATGCAGATGTATTATAAAATTGGAAAAACAACTTCTTAAATTCTTAATTAGGCAATGCTGTTAACAGAAGATCTAAGTCTCCTGATTGTAAGAAGGATGTAATGGCTCCTGAATAAAATACCACACATACATAATTCATGGGTCCTGCCCTCATATTTTAATGCTATCCTTGAAATTCCTGCAAGAAACACCTGGAATCATGTGGAAATTCATTATATTTCACAATGAGAATTTTAAATTACATTGCTTCAATTATTAAAAACTAATAATCCTACTTGTACAAATAACAAAGCAAATAATTCATTATTAATCTTACAGAAACACTTTCCAAGTCCCTATTTTTTCCTACACCAATGCAGCTCCACAGAAGTCCAACATATTTAAATAATTTCTGTATTATGACACACTAGATTGGATTATGAAAAACAGTGAACTTAAACTATTTCAAATTAAGGGCTCTTAATCTTAGCTAACTCAATTTCACAAATAAGAAAAAATTTAAACTATGATTAAGTTAATCTTTAATAACTCACCCTGACATTTTAAAAACATGGACAAGGTAACAGATTTTTTTCACACTTTACTCTTCCTAAATATAAAAGTTATATATCTGCTCTCAACACAAATTCCATAGTGACATAGTTCAGTACTCAAAGTTAATCTATACAGGAATGCGAAACTCCTTTACTAAGAAATATCTGAGCATTTCTCTTACCTCTGTTTCTGTACAATGTGAATATCCTGATTTACCTGTAATAAAAATACAAAAAAATACTTTAAAAGGATTTTAACTTTTTAATCATTGAAAAAAAATTGAGATACTCTGGCCATGGCTTTATAAAACTATGCAAATAAAAGGTGCTATTTTCATATAGGCCTATGTAAACTTAAATATCAAAGCAGGACCTGGAGAAGAGTATGCTTAATTGTGATAAGACCTAAAACACACATATTTGATTTGTATATATATGAATTAATGAAAGTAAAACAAAAATACTTTTAAAGTCTTGTTTTCTTTTTAAAATACCTTAAGATACTTTTAAAAGGTGCCTTTTAAAACACTTTGAAATATTTTTAAAAATCTTTAAAAGTCTTGGACTTTTCCCCAAATGTATTTCCAGGTTAAAATTACAGTAATCATCTCAGTGAAAGCCAACATCTTTCAAACTCATATTTTCTTTAATATATGATGGTTGTTTCCATTAATATATGATTAGATAAAACCATATAATTAATCTGGTAATTCTTTCAACAGAAGATCACCTAAAGAACAACTAGCCTGAACAGTATTTGGCAACATTAATGTTTTCTTTTCATTGCTGAGACACAATATGAAGGAACATATACAATTACATATTTCTGTTAATTTGGTGACTAAAACATTTTTAAAATTAAAAAAACAGCTATTTTAAAGTAGTCATTTTAAAATAGTTTGACTCATGTTTTAAGTAGTTTTAACAAAAGACTAGCTAACACATTTATACTGGGTACTAAAAATTTTAATTTCCTCAGTCTACGCTTCTCAAATTTCACTGTCTTAAGTTCAAGTATACATTTAACCCCATCTCTTTTTCACCACCACCATTAGCCTCCCTCTTTCTTTTCTTCCTCTCCCCAGCCTACCCTACTACTAATCCTAGTCCACAGTGGTTCTATCAGTCTGTGTTTTTTTTAAATGGTTAACTAGAATTTAAATACCTAAAGTCTATGATGATATCATCAAAAAAATCATAAACTATGCCTTCTAATTCATAAAATGAAAAATAAAGTTGAAACCCACTATTTCTGATGAGCTAATGATCCTATATAAAATCTGGGCTGAAACTGAGACCAGAAAAAAAGGAACCTTAAGTTCAGTAAAATTAAAATGATATATGAGCATAAATAAAGATTTTATGATTATATAGATAAAATGAGTTAATATATATGAATTTATGCACTAGGGTTTTAATAAATGTATAACTTTATATATTTATCATTAAATAAAATTATGTTATAAAGTCATTTATATCATATTATCTTTTTATTCATTTATATGATTATTTGCTGAAAACATTAGTGCTTTTGGTAAATTAATCATACTTGACTTCTACTAAAATGGTAATAACTTTAACTTAGGAAAGTACAATGGACAGAAATATCTCAAACAAGGGCACAGACTACATCTCAAACATTTACTGAGCATCTACTGTGAACAAGAGAAAGAAGGGAGGGAGAAAAAAATATGGTATCAAGACAATTTATAACAGAGTGTAACCTTGTTGAAAGTACATGGATGTACATCTTCAGTATAATATATTCTTTTTAAAAAATACATATTTTATTGATTATGCCATTACAGTCATTCTACTCCCCCCCTCTGTTCCCCTCCACCCTGCACACTCTTCCCCCACCATCCCCCCCTTTAGTTTATGACCACGTGTCTCAAGTTCTTTAGATTCTATATTTCCCATACTATTCTTGCCCTTCCCCCTATCTATTTTCTACCTACCATCTATGCTACTTATTTTCTATACCTTCTCCCCCCTTCTCCTCCTCCCACTCCCCTGTTGCTAACCCTCAATGTGATCTCCATTTCTATGGTTCTGCTCCTTATCTAGTTGTCCACTTAGTTTGCTTTTGTTTTAGGTATGGTTGTTAATAACCGTGAGTTTGCTGTCTTTTTACTGTTCATATTGTTCATATTTTTTCTCTTTTTTTCCTTAGATAAGTCCCTTTAACATTTCATATAATAAGGGCTGGGTGATGATGAACTACTTTTGACCTTTAACTTGACCTTAATTGAGAAGCACTTTATCTGTCCTTCCATTCTAAATGAAAGTTTTGCTGGATAGAGCAATTTTGGATGTAGGCTCTTGCCTTTTATGACACAGAATACTTCTTTCCAGCCCCTTCTTGCCTGCAAGGTCTCTTTTGAGAAATCAGGAGACAGTCTTATGGGAACTCCTTTGTAGGTGACTGTCCCTTTATCTCTTGCTGCTTCTAGGATTCTCTCCTTCATTTTAATCTTGGCTAATATAATGATGATGTACCTTAGTGTGTTCCTTCTTGGGTCCAACTTCTTTGGGACTCTCTGAGCTTCCTGGATTTCCTGGAAGTCTGTTTCCTTTGCCAGATTGGGGAAGTTCTCATTTATTATTTGTTCAAATAACTTTTCCACTTGCTCTCTCTCTCTTCCCCTTCTGGTACCCCTATAATTCGGATGTTGGAGAGCTCAAGGATGTCCTGGAGGTTCCTAAGCCTCTCCTCATTTTTTTGAATTCTTGTTTCTTCATATTTTTCTGTTTGGTCTTTTTTTCTTCCTTCTGGTGCACTCCCTTGATTTGAGTCCCAGTTTCCTTCCCATCACTATTGGTTTCCTGTGCATTTCCCCCTTCATTTCAATTAGTTTAGCTTTCATTTGTTCATCTAATTTGTGACTAAAATCAACCAGTTTTGTGAGCATCCTGATCACCAGTGGTTTGAACTGTGCATCTGAAAGTTTGGCTATTTCCTGGTCACTTAGAGTTATGGGCTCTGGGGCTTTGAGCTCTTCTTGAGCCATGTTTTGGTCTGTTCCCGCCTGTTACGTACGAGAAGAGCCTTAGGTGTTCACCAGGGCAGTGCCACCCAGGTTGCTGGGTTGTGATGCTGTATGTGGGGGCGGGGTCAGAGAGGGGCAATGGCAGTCCCCTCTACTGCTTCCCGCCACTGGGGCCTATGCAGTCTGTCTCACCGCTCGCTCCTTCGCTGGTTTATCTGCACGTGAATATGTGACCCAGGTCAGCCTGCCACCTTGCACCCTCACTAGGTCCGCCGGTTGGTACCCCACACCTGGGATCCGCCCACAGCTGCCTGTGCACCTGGGTCAGGGGATCTTTCCTGCCTGACCTCTCTGCTGCTGGCTCCACCCCTCTTACCAGTCTGGCGGAATGGTTCGTTGCTGTGGACTTCCATATAGTTCAATTTTCTGTGTTTTGGCTGCTTTTTTGTTACTAAAACTTTGTTGTCTTTAAACTTGGTTGTGAGAGAAGGCACGGTATTTCCACCTACGCCTCCATCTTGGCAGAAGTCCCCTATTCTTAAAGTAAAGAGAATTAAAGCTCTGGCTGGTGTGACTCAGTGGACTGAGCCCCAGCCTGAAAACCAAAATGTCAGCTGTTCAATTCCCAGTCAGGGCACATGCCTGGGTTGCAGGCCAGTTCCCAGCAGGGGATGCATGAGAGGCAACCATACATTGATATTTCTCTCCCTCTCTCCTTCCCTTTCCCTCTAAAGATAAATAAATAAAATCTTTAAAAAAAAATGAAAAACATGTATTTCCTATCTCCGCCGTCCAAAAGAGGGAGAAGCAACAACACCCTGTTATGAAAGGGCATACCTAGCCCATCCCCCCTCAAAAGAACCAGGACTACTTAGGAAAATGACTGGCTCCAAAACTGGGACAAGGAATTATAACATAAGCTGGAACATCTTTTTTGCACCAGAAAGTAATAAAGTACTCAAAGAATGATGGAGTGATATCAAAAAGGCATGCATGAGTCCTATTAAATAAGATTTTTTCAATGACTGCTATTATAAAACTGAAAATACTCACCTATAACAGGACCAAAAATTTTTGTAATAATATACCATTACTTTTAGTTATTCAGTTTGAACTGGTGACTAAGTTATGCAAATATGGAAAGGTGGTTAAGTATGAAGTGCTCGACCACCTACACTACTCTGCCACCCAAACCCCTGCCCAATCTCTGACCCAGAAATCAGAACACCCCAATTATATGACAGCACTGCCTAAAGAAACCGTGGAAATAATCTTGCCCAATCCAATCATACCATAGATGAATAATCTGAGTCTGAGGAGTCAAATGAATTGTATAAAACAACAGAGTAAACAGTAGACTCCAAGGCTCCTAACTCCAATTATGTGTTGTTACGGTTGTGGTTATTCCTGCTTCTGCATTTCCCCTTGCAGGGGTCTGTGGGGTTAGAGTACGGGATTGCAGGAGTGCTGTCCCAGACACCTACCATTTATAACATAGGAAAATGGGAAAACACATTCATTATTTAACAGTTAGCAACTGCCAATATAGCACCAAGCAATTTTCCTTTGACAATCTTTGAGTCTTTCTTCACAAGTTGGCTACTCTCTTTTTATAGGACCAGATCTGAAAAATCCCTCTAAACTCTAGAATCCTGTGGCTTCCCTTTTTACAAATCCAGTAACCTAAGTTGATGACAGGCATAATCAAGATTTCAAATTATTAAATGCAGTGAATTAGTTATTTCAACAAAGTAACAACTGTATTGATTTTATTGATTTTTATTAGGTTGAGTTGAATTAGAAGGCTAGATCAACTATGTGATGACATACAATAAAAGGAAACACCTGAAATGATATTTAAATATTGAGTTGTAAAATATTTCAACATTATCAAAGTACTTACATACTCTAGGTAGAAAGATGATTTGCACAGCAAGACAAAAACCTCAGTGTTTCTCAAGAGAAATGAGCATTTAAATGTGTAATAATCAAGATTGTGTTTTAGACCCTTTATAACTCATTCTAAAATATATGATATGCTCTTAATATTTGCTAGACAAGTTCCCAGGAAACAGAAAAAAACCAGTGTCTTCCTATCAATTGCTACAGAATGGTTTTGAGAAATAAATTAGTCCTGGTATAAAATGTCTGTAATAAGAACTCATCAACTAAGACAACACTGTCATTTTCAGTGGACATTTTAAATCTCAAATGCTGATAATCAGAT